CGAGGAGAAAAGGCGGGGCGGTGACGGCGAGAGCCAATCGGAGCGAGGCGCGAGGAGCGGCGGTGGGAGCGGGGATGAGGGGGCGTTGCCCGGCAACGGGGCGGGGCGAGCGCGGGAGGCGGGAAACGGCGGCTGAGGGGATGGGGGGCGGCGGCCCCTGAGGGAATGAGGGCAGGCGGGAGGGCGACATGGCGCTTGTCAACACGGCTGTCACCGCGGCCGAGGCTGCTGCTAAAACCGGGAAACCAGAACTTGCTGCAGCTAGGGAGAGGTTTGGGGAGTAGCCTTCGTTTAAGACGTTAATAGGAAAGCCCAGCTTGCGGGCTATTCACACTTTAGGAGACACGTGGCACGTCCATGTTCCTGCTTCACCCAAAAGTAACTGTTTAAAAACACATTCCTTGCATGGCCATGCTTAAGCGCTAATTTCCAATTAAACCTTCCAAAGAGAAATACAGACGTTCATGCTTGAGCTCAAGGCAGCCTGTTCCTTGACTACTGTTTTAGTGATGTGGGGAAGAGTTAAAGCCTAACACGCAGCCTGGCTTTCCAGTGGAATATTTACGCGCTGGTTTTGCCAGTAAGTGCTGGTTATTGTCCTCCTGGTGACACCCAGATGCGTTTATCTTGCCAAATGGCAGAGTTACATGGGTACATTCTGCTCTCTCCCTCCAGGTGTGAGCCAGCAGAGCTGCTGTGTCAGTGCAGGCACAGGGTGAGGACAAGTGTGGACAAAATTCTGCAAGACAAGCTGAGCCTGAGGAGATGCAGGTCACATACGTGGCTGGATAAGAGACTTTTCCTGCCAAGTCATTTTCTATCAGCTTGGATCAGGATAACATCAAATCTACTGCTTCCCATACCACAAACTGTGCTGGTTTTTCACCTTTCTCAGCTGTAGTTTTAGTCTTTCCACACATGTTCCATACAGTGTTATATTTTTCCTCTACCCTCACTTTAACAGAACAATGGGAACTCACGTAATACCAAATTCTTGTGGCAAAACCTCTTTTTCTCATCTCTAACTTGGGCAAAACGATGATTTCACAGCATAGTTGCTCCCCTGAGGTGCTGCAGAGTGTTCTGCAAACGTTCTGCTTGGGCTGCCTCTCCTTGTGTTCTCATAAGCACCTTTGCCAGGAAAGGATTACTACACCATTATTCATCCTTCTCCTCTCCCTGGAACTTTGTGCAATATCCTGTCATGTTCAGCTTTGGGAATAAGTTTCATGAATGATATATAGATATATTTTCACTGGGTTATTGCTCCAACTTAGGCAATTGATTGCCAAGCTCAGGTATCTGGGGACTGGTTGTTCCCTCCCTTGCTGTCCTGTTACCTACTGGCAGTTCATGAGGAAAATCATTATTTTGTACCTCATGACACAAGGAGGTTGTGACAGAATTGCAGGAAAAAGCTGGTTTGTGTGTCACAGTGTTGTACTTCTGGGTGTTACAGTGTTACATTTCTTATCGTTCATCGCTCTCATTCCCCTGCACTGGCGTTTTGCATCTGCCAAAAGTAGACAATTAATACTGTATTCACAACATGCAGCACGTGCCCAAGTCATTCCAGGCTTGGCTTTTGCAGCCCCACTGCTATTTCTCCTCACTAGCTCCAGTGTTTGATATTATTCATCATATCTTGTCCAAAATAAAATGCATCCTTCCTACTCTGTGTATAGCAAATGGCAGGACTGGGACCTAAAATTATTTCCAGACACATTTAACTTATTTGTAAAGACTCATCTGGAGCATCTCTTCCTAAAAGCATCTCTTCCTATGCAAATAAGAAGATCCAAACTTTCAGTCACACCTGAAAGCAAAAATACTGAAAAACCTGACCAGAAAAATACGTTTTGGTTCCATTTAAATTCCTCTGTAAGTGGATCCATGCCAGCAAGCTCCTTGCGTGTGTAAAATCTCCACTGATCCTCGGAACATGTGCTCACTAAAGACTCTTTCTGTGCTCTTGTGGAGAAGAGCCTAAAACCCCTAATACTGATGTGCAGCTGCTGTGTGCGCTGCAGCACCGCTCGTTCACCCCATTCCATGTGCATCCATCACCCTCCGTCCTCTTCGGGAGCAGGGGAGCATCGCCTCCCGTCCATCCTGGTCCGGACGTGTCAGCTCCGGACACTGCGCTCGCTGTTGGGTCCCACGGACACAGCCGCGGCCCCTGCCCCTGCTGCGAACCCAGTCCAGCGCAGGGCATCGTCTGCGTGGGACCCGAACCCCGAACACGGGCAGCTTCGAGCTCTGCCCGCTCAAACTCGCGGCTGCGCTCCCCGGACGGTACCGAGAGCCCTCCGGGTGATGCTCGGCACAAGCAGCGAGCGAAGAGCGCCCGCGCTTGGCGATGCTCCTCTCCCAAGGGGGCAAACAAAGCCTCGCGGAGCAGCGAAGACCCCCGCGACTCCTCCCGGCGGGGATGGTCCCGGGAACCGGGAGGCGCGGGGACCGCGGGCATGCGCGGGGCCGCCCCCGGCCCGCCCTGCGCCGGGCATT